AACTCTAATGAGGACAACACATGACTTCCTTTGAGAGGCACATTTAAGTGCACACACTTTTTCCTGCACTTCATTTAAGCTTATTTCCTGGAAATACAAGGCAAGCTGAAAATGATATCAAAATTTGCAAATCTTGAAATTAAATATCCCGGTCATATTTATCGTATCTGAAAAAAGTTCTCGCATTTTATTTTTTTCATCACTAGTACACAACATTCCTAAACATAACTATAGGAAAAAGGAGATGGTATTAAAAGTTAAATTCCGTTATTTGTGTAAAATTAGTTTTTTAAATTTGAAATTGCAAATCCGTGAATATGTTTCCCGTTTAAAATACTTCTGTAATTCGAAGTAAAAGCTAGAAAAAATAAAGGCTGACTAAAGTTTCTGAAGGCAGGTAAAGGGTTTGGATAAATATATACATATACACTTTTGTGCTACCTATTGCAATAAAAAATAAAGCCTCATAACTAGATGGTGTAGTAATCGTACATACTAACATTCAACGTTCTACGGCTAATAGTTTTTTGAGTTCTGCAAGATACACACGTAGAGAAGTCACGAAAAAAAATCCCTTTTACAATCTATTTTGGAATAAAGAGTCCTTTACTCTGTCCATATGTACAGATGCCATGCAAAAATAGTCAGAATGGATTCGGGAACGGTCAAAATGTATATTTCCTTTGAAAGAAATAACCGAAAATTTTCCCACTTACAGTATTATGTAGAATCACTAAGTTTTTTTGACACTGGAGACGGGAAAAGTGAGCAATTTTCTTGACAGGACTAGAACCTGGATCTCTCGAATACGTGCCGAGTGTGCTACTGTTAACCAAGAAAGCATGCAGGAAGGAGGGAGACAGTAAGCAGCATACAAAGACTCTGTGCACTTTCCATTGCAAAGGCGTACAGCACAACCGCGACGATGGCGGCAGCAGTGCTCGCAGGCATAATGCCGCTTCAGATTAAAGCGGAACAAGGGGCAGCGATTACGCAAATCACCTTATTAAGACAGCAGCCTTTTTACAGGGGGCAGCATTATATCCCTGTACACTATGAAGAAAAAAGAACAGTACGACTAGTTCATTCCGCAGAATATGGCAGAGGAGTGCATGCGCATACCGACTACATCGCCTGCAGAGAGGATAACTCAAAAGTATGCATTTATACAGATGGCTCGAAGATTGGCAACTAGGTAGGGTGCAGCTTCATCGCCAAGAGGCAAGGGGATACCCTCGCAGCATGGAAAGGGAACCTGAAAGGAAACAACTCTGTTTTCCAGGCAGAAGCAGCAGCCCTGAAACATGCCCTATCTTATGCAGCCACTAACAGCCAAAATTCTTTCCGCATTTACACCGACAGCCAATCGGCCATCTTTCCAATAAGGAATCCTTATCATCCCAGCCCACTTATTGCAAAAATCCAAGCACTCCTGAGAGCTAGATCGTCGGCATTTCCACTCCACATATCCTGGATTAAAGCTCATTTTGGGCACCAGGGAAATGAGAAGGCGGACTTACTTGCAAAGGAGGCCACGCAGAACATAGATGCGCAGCAAATAGAGGTGCTGCTTCCCAAAAGCAGCATTAAAAGCACAACGTGGAAGGATTCTCTAATCGACTGGCAAGAAAACTGGGATTCCTTTCTGCAGGGCAGACGCGCGTACGTGTTCTTCCACAGGGTCAATACAGACAGGTTAATTTCAAACCCGCATATAACGTGCTTTGTTACTGGACACGGTCCGTTTCCCTAGTTACTTTTATGATAGGCACCTAACAGCTACCAACGTCTGTGTATGTGGAGATGTGGGCAAACCTGATAATTATCTGACATCATGCCCACTTACACGAGACTTCCACCACGCTCCGCCAACTACAAATACAGTCGCCTACAAAAGATTCATGGTCAAGCAAACTTTAATACAGAGAAAAATACGATTAATGATGCAAAAACTCGAAGCGCTAGGCACTGAACTCTGCAGTGCGGAACACGTTTCCATCTAGCCATAGGAGTCCTAATCCTTCATGTATATTAATATCTTTATACAAGTTAATACAATATCAATGCATAACTTTAATGCTCAATCTAATCGAATAGGGAAATGCACATTTTATCTTATATTAATGTAATGTATGTATGCATGTACTATTATTGTATAAGGTATAACGATATATATAGTTATAAGTTGTACAATTTGCACTAGTATATGTGTGTAGAATATAGAAAATTGTTATTATTGTAAGCACTAATATATCCAGTGCACCTATTAATGTATCGAATGTACCTTTTATATAACGTATGTATTAATGTAATGTATGTGTGCCTGTATTATTTATGTATATAGTTATAAGCTGCGTAATGTGCACTGGTGCAGCTTTGCAACATGTCTGTAAAGTTCAGCAGATTTTATTATAGTATGTATTAATATATCGAGTGTACTATTAATGTATAATGAATTAAGTAATTATATTGATATATCGAATGCACCTTTCATGTTATGTATGTATCAATGTAATGGACATTTGTATGTGTTATTAATGTATAATGTATGTAGCTATAAGTTGCGTAATGCGCCTTGGTATTGCTCTCCAAAATGTCTGTAGAGTTTAGGTACTTTTTTTATTGTATGGCTTAAATCGAGTGCACTATTAATGTATAGTGTATCAATATAGCGAATGCACCTTTTATGTTATCTGTGTATTAATGTATTGTATGCATGTAATATTAATGTATAATATATATAGCTATAGGTATTGTATAATATATTTAGCAGTACTACTATTGTGGTAATTCAACATAGTAACAGCACTTTTTGATGCAAGTATCTTTTTATTGTATAATAAGCACTGTTATTGTAGGAGTCCGCAATACCCCTGTTTTCCTCCATCTGCCTTTGTTTACAATATTCTTTTTCTGGACAGTTGCGGGATTCGGACGATACCCGAATAGTCAGTGAAAGCCTGTCTGGACCCTGCTCTCACCTATCACCTCACCTGCCACCTTTATACCTTTACTTCGTAAAAGGAAGTAAAACATTTTTTTTCAGAGACAACTATATCACTAACAACGGAATCGCTGCTATGAGCAGAACAATGAGCTCTTAGGTTTTCAATGAAAAATGAGGGGTGTTTCTAGATCTTTTTTACCTTTCATGTGATTTCCATTACTCTGTTACACAAAAAGTATTCATCATCTTAATGAAATTGCATCAATTTGGTAATATTGACTGCACACTCTTATTAAGAATAAATTAAAAAATTCCGTCAACATAAAACGGGAAATATTTTTCAATATTCCGTGGCTCCAGATGAGTTATTTTATGGAGTTATTAATCTTAGACGTGATATAAAACTGTGCCATACGTTTTATGCCCATATATAAATTTGTTATAATACTGCTTATTTTATTATTGTTGTAGAATCATGATCAGGCATCTTCTGAAAGCGATGTTCTTTTATCAGTTAAATTTATGTATATGTATGTATCTAGAATGATAAGGAACTCAAATGTCAAATGGCATTTAAAGAGGATCCACATAAAAACAATCTGCGTCATTTTTATCCCCAAACACATAAATTTCTGTAGAAGAAATATTTGTCGCGTGTTGTAGCGCAAAAGGGCTTTGACCACGTAGAAAGCAGGATAGCTGACGGTTTGTGTTGGTATACACTTGTCATTCAATTTTCGAACGCTCCTGTGAGCTATCCTACATTTTAGTACGTTATCCAATTCATATTACTACTTTGCTAAGGTTTACCTGTTTTAGTTGAAATTTTAAATAGGGATGTGGCCATTATATTTTGATAAATTTACCTTTTCGATTAATAGCTGCTGTTTTTGACAACTCTTCGGCCTACGATCAATGTGATTTCAATCTTCGTACAGAGTGGAAACTATGGTGATGTCATTAACAATGCAACATGGACCTGTATAATTTTTAACTTCCGGCAGAACTACTTGGTTAGCCATTTTAATATGAAGTTTTCCCCAATTTTGTATTATTGCTACTGTACACTCTTGTAAGGGGTTCTGGTAGTGAACGGATGTTGTTATGTAGTGAGATTCGAGAATACTGAATAAAGATTTAATACCTTAATTGAAATTATCGGAAGACCATAATTATTCTATTTTAATTTTGTTTCTTTCTTATTTGAACTTAATATGGGTTTTATTTCTCAAAATTCTTATTTCCGTATGTAAGGGCTTGAGAACCAGTGTTTTAATGTTTTGTTAATTTCTACTTAAAACAGTGCAGTACCACTTAAAACACCCTACTTTCGGATTTCATATGTCCCAACCGACAAACTGAATATGCCTGTGGAATTTCTGGATACACAGGAAAGCCAACGTTGCATCCGAATGTTGAGACAAATAAGCAAATTTTCGATAGCTAATTCTAGCTGGAAATGGAATCTTAATGAAAACTTTAACTTTGGCCTTCGGAAATTAAATTATTTCAAGCATTTCAAATTCGCAACAATTTACCCAATTATTTATAAACCAGGCCTTAGTGATTGTTTCAAAAAAATCTAAAATCTCGTTTTTCATGTTAAATTAAAATCTTCCTCGCATTGTATTGAAGAAACGTCTAATCCTCCGAGAACCTTTTACAAATTTTTCTCCTGAAGGAAAGAAGCTAATATCTGGTTCATAGAATTTTGTTCAAACTCTTGATCAAACTAAGATTGTTGTTTTGGATAATTTAGTACATTACATTCACATGTTTCTCTGACAATTTAGTTGATAAGAATTTAGATTCAAAAGTTTTATTTTCTAACGATAAAAATGATAAATACTGCTCCCTGAACAAGATTTACACCCGATTAACGCATATAAACGATAATTAGAGAAAACACATGTTATGGGACTTCATACTATTGTTTATATGAAACTTATTTCGAAGCCAAAAATCAGCTAAAACCATCGTAAAAATAAACTTTCGACGAGTAATAGATCTTTGTTGCATCATATAATTCATAGTAAAAAAATTAAGGGAAGCATTTTATGCAAGCAACTAAGAGGTTTTTATTACTGCATATTTCGAAAACGTTTGAGAAGAAAACTTTACATAAAATCATGGTTAACATGGGATTAAGTAATTATTTGTAAAGGTTATAGAATAAGTTTTTTCTTGCCGAAGCAGTATGTCTGGGAAAGTAGCCCATTCTGATGATTCTCATTTTTCAGATCCTAAAAGAAAAACAAAATAAATTTAATGTAAATAAATTTAAAGTAAGAATAAATCTAATAATGAAATAATTTTGTACCTGAATTTGCATATTCCTGAAGCGAATATTGAAAGTTTAGACATTTTTTTTAATTCCTCTACTTTATAATTTAAGATGATTAATGTATATACTTGAAAACGTAACTGAACTAGGAAATGCAGATTATTTAACATCTTTATTCTGTGTAATATTTATAAACTTTATTAAAATCTTTCTAGTGAATCGGTTTTCTATTTTCGGTTTATCTGAAATCTCTTCTGTATGAAAATTACATTTGCAAAATTTAAGGAAGCTGAATTACGCGTATTGTTATTTAATGTGAAGCGTGCTTAACGATTCCTGAATTTTTTTTCTTTCCATGCTAACTGATAGCAGGATCATGGCACGATATAAAAATATTTGTACATAAAATAGATTTAACAAAATTAAAAATTGTCACTCTTGTATCACGTGCATAATAAATGTGATCAAAAACGTGTTTTATGAACTAATCTAGTGGTGGAAATTTTTAAAAAGGATGAATTAAGGATACAAAGAATATCAGATGTAGTAAGAAAAAAGAAAAAGATTAAAAAAATACATTATATGATGAAACTTACGTAATCTTACTTCTCTTAAATCTCACATAAGGGGAGAGGTATTTCTGCAATTCAAAAGAAAGTATTTGGAAATACATCTGGCCTACATAAATTGTAATTCGAAATAAAAAATAAATTTTTTACATCGACATAATAGGCAACATAATTAGAAATGAAAGTTAACGGAAAAGATGCTGCAGTAGTGGAAAAATCAGGGAGTACTGGGAATTTGCCAGTCATGTGGATGATCAGTGTTAATTTAATATAACATACAGTAATGAATGTAACATGAAGAGGTAATTGGAAAATAAATTAGGCATTTTTATAACAAGAAAGAAGTATTTCTTCATATCTTGCTGCAAAGAAATCCTATTTAAAATGCGTCACATATAACTTAATTTTTTTTACCCTATTTTTGCGCGCGGATGGGCTCGTAATAGATTGCACGCAGAATTGATTATATCACGATAACATTTGTTTTACCAAAAGAACCACGCCACATTTCTGGAACGTTCTACAAAAATACGCGCGCAGATCTTCACTGTATCACAGAGTCCAGACAGTAATTACACTTCAGACTAAAACGAAGGTTCAACAAAGCGCAAAGCAAAGCGCATCAAAACTGCGAAGCTCATAAGGCATATATCAGTACTTCGAACTAAAGCTGAAATAAACAGCCAACTGCTCAAAAACTGATGCTCTCCGCCGTTTAGTTTCGGCCAAGTTTTCTTTCGGCCACTGGGAGATTTTTAGTACCTTCTCGAAATTACTGAAAGGTTTATGAGGGCTGGATGCTGTTACAATAAGTATAGCACCAATACAGTTACTCAATTACAATAGCCCTCACGGTTATACAGACATCGAAGGAAATTTCGCTTCAGGGTCGCCTACTTTGGAGAATTTTGGTGCTTTCTCGCTAAATTAGGCAACAAATGTTTGCTTTCAAACCCACAGCCAACTTGATGATATCAGGCCACTTTATAGGCCAATAAAAGGCCAGGAGGTAGCCATTTACTCAATGTTAAACAGTCTTGCCCCTGTTTATTTACTTTTCCGGCAAAGCGTAGCTGCTTTAGAATTTACAAAAAATTGTTACAATTTCAATAATAATTTCCTTCATATTACACTGAAGTGCCAGTGTTGTGTGATGAGTTTTCAATCCTTTCTCCAACATGTTCGAAAGATGCTCAGTAGAATTTAAGTCGGGGCTTTTAAAGAGCCAATTTATGTCAGAGAAGTCAGAAGAATGCTCATCCAACCAGGCAGTAGTGAACCGGGAACATATTTCACAAGTGTACATCTGTGTAGGCACCGAGGGAGTGGCTTCTAAGATGGAACTTCCAGTAATATTTCTGTCATGTCAAATTACTTTTAAGCGAGATGGTTGAAACATTTTGCCTCGCATTTCCTGTACAAAATAATTAAAGCATAGTCGATTTCTTCTGAAAATTTTCATTGCAAAGTTAGATCAAATATAAGAAATTGTGAAGATTTCGCTACCTGGTTGAAAGAATTTGATACAAACGCATGTTGAATGCTTCCCAAACTTCGACTGATCGATCTCGGTTTCTGTTTTCAAGGAACTACATTTTTAAGTATTCTTCATATCGTAAAATAAAGGTACGTACTTAAATTTACAATTTCTATAACAGTTCTATAACATTCTATTTTATGCTAATTAATTGACTGCAAAATGGTAACTGTAATTATTATTTAAAATTTGTTTCAGTTGCTACATTCAGTTCAGATGAAAAAATATACATTTCTATACATTTTGAATAAAAATTGTCTTGCAATTTTTAAATACAGTTGCATAAATTTATTGCGAGTAATTTAAAAACTTTTAATAAAATTAATAAATTTCATATTATTATTATCATAGCTATATTTTGCACCTGCGTGAAGGAATAGCATTTAATCCAGATTCATTTTAATTATTTCAGGCTTAAATATACTACCTAAAATATTATGAATACTGTTATTTTACAAAGAGAAAAACTATACAACAAATTAAAGAAAAACAAATGCAAATTTAAAACGTTACTAATATATAAGCAGAATTATAGCTGTACTAAAAGGTACGAATATTTTGTAAACGGAATTTTATTTTAATTAGAGTTATTCATGGTTCATCAGAAATAGTTTGATGTTGTGAATAATATTTCAAACTGAAAATAACTTGAAATACATATCCACAGATCAAAATATGATTTCTCAGTGTTTTGTGGAATTCCATTCGTGCTGCTAGAGTTGCATACTGCTATTTAAAACTTTACTTCTGTCAGTAAAATTCTTCTGCAATAATTTGTATTAAATGATTTTAATTTAATATTAAACTACTTTTTAAAACGGTACACATTATCTTTTTACATACATTCATCTTTAAAAATTATGCTGACTAGCCTGAAAAATACGGTCTAACTGACTTTCAAATTACTAAGGTAAAAAATGCGATACTTCTGCCACATTCAATTTGCCATGAATATTCATTTGCATTACTATACATTTAGTATGTTAAATTTCCCATTTAATAACTGTTCTCTTTTAAATGCATTGTCTACACAAGAAATACTCTTCAAACAGAAGGAATTTATCTTATTCACAAAGAATATATTTAATTTATTTATATATAACTTTTGATATTATTATAGACATAATCAGATCATACTTAATATATATTTTGAATCTTACACTTTTTAAAACCAAACGAATGCAAGCACTGAAATCAGAAAATACCAGATTCATTGTAACACTTCCGTCCTTCTCAGCTCAATATAAAAAATTACACACATGAATTCTCTTAATCCACAGGTGTTCGTAAATGCATAATATTCGAGGCTAACTCTAGCTTAAGTCGGTAAAGAGCAATAATATGCCGCGAACAACAATCCGCGATAAAAATCGCGACAGTGAAATGGCAGAGATATAAACTCATAAAATGAAACGTCTTCGAGAATTTCTACTATTACGCCATACATTTATAACTGCGAAACAAATGCAAATTAAAACGCACACAGCATACGCTCATATGCCCAGTTTCAAAGATTCATCGTCAAAAGAGCAATAGAAGCTCATTGCCCAGTTTTCGAAACCCCTCCCTCAGTGGTTACACAAATGTGCACTTGTGAATTATGCGAACCGGGATCTGCGAGAAGGGCAGTTATCTTGCTGTGATACTCCATTTCAGTGTGAAAGGACAGGACAATATAAATGGACGAAGATGATCGCACAGCAACTCTACGTACCGACACATACTGAGGGAGGTTGGTACAAGTACCAAAGATCCTAAACACTCCCAAGAGAAAACATCCCAGACCATGACTAAGCCACCAGTTCCAATCTACCATACAGGATCCATGGCTTCATGAGTTCTGACGCTACATTCTCAACCTTCCATAGGTATTAATTAGTCGAAATTAAGACTTATCGCTCCTTGCTACTCATTTCAAGTCCACTAGAGCATATTCATATACTATTCTTCTTGCCTAGGCAAGAAGGGCAGCTCGACGTCAGGCATTCAGTAGAGGTAATCTCGAGGGTCTAACGGCTTCAGAAGCCCATATGGTGAAGCGAGCGTTAGACGATCCTTTTCCTGACGGTACGACTGTCGCTCTGATTCAGTTGGGTGGTAATTTGAGCTAATGTTTGGCTTCGTTGACTATGTACAATACGACTGAGCTGTCTCACATTATGCTTGTTCTAGGTTAATTGTCCTTTGCAATTTTTCCGATCACTAGATCTTTTTTCCACTATCCATATACTCTTGACACTATCGACCTTGAAAATCCTAGCCCGATGAGGATTTTTGGAAATGTAATGTTCCATGCGTCGAGTGCCTACTATGTATCCGAGATTGAAGCTGTCTAAATCAGAAGTTTTACCCATACTGATAATTGAAACAACTGATTAACAGCAATCATAGTACTAGCTGTATGTGCATTTACCACAACTTCCTCAAGTGAGCACAGATGTCGTCCAGCGCCATAAAATTTGCATAGCCATGTCTATCCCTAATTCAGTGGCACTTCAATGTAGTAGCATATACAAAATTTATTAAAGATAAAATCCTCCACAAAATTAAAAAAGACGCAATTACAAATAACATTGGAACTGCAACAAATACGAAATACCTAATGTTTCATGTAATAGAAATTATATTTTCTATATGTTAAAAGTGCATATTCATCAGAAATATAAATTCGTTCCTACTGAAACCATTCTTGTCAAAAAATATGTAATTTTTCCTTCTTTTAATATTTTAAATGACCCTGAAGCTTTGTCCCTGAAGGACTATTGTTTTCGTTTTGCAATTTTGCGTCGAATCACTATAAACAGCGTATCACTTTTCAAATTGTTGCCATTAAATGTTAGAGTCCTGTATTATATTTGAAGAAATTAAATAATTAAAAATCTGCATAAATGTATGTATGTTTCTCGCACTGGGATAAAACAACGGTATCTGCAGCCATCCAATTTTGAATGACGCAATCCTACTGCGAATATAGGCATCTGAAAGCACAAATTTAAAATTTGTAATTTCTTTTATTATCTATTCCATATTTTGTAATACTTTAACGAATTTTTGTAACACTGTACGGGAGTGGGAGAGGAGAAACCTTTTTGTCTCTAGCGCGTGGAACTGTGTATCGGAAATTCTAAAGGTATCTCCATTTTAAAATTATTTTGCAACATTGCAGTAGAACTGAATTTTATGGTTTAAATGCAAAGACCATGATATTTAATAAATAAATGCAACACACAAAACGTTAAAAAAACGCCCCTTTGGACGTAATTTAAAATCTGAAACGTTTCAGATTTTTTCAGAATTGTTAAAAGAGGAGTTTTATATAGAATTATCTGTCTTTAATTAAAATTTAGCAAAACTAGCAGTTTACTAGAAAATAGTTAAATTTAATCAACTTCTCGTTTTCGTTTTTAAATTAATGCTTCTCTTTTTTCGTAATTTATACGTAATCATGATACATTATCAGAGACGTGACTTCGAAAGTTGTGAAAATGAAATCGATAGAAAAATATTTTAATCTCTTAATTGCATAATTATACTTACAGGTACAATTTGGGAAAATAAAATGAAATCTATTTTGCTTACATTAAATTACTGCCTATATTTCTTTGAAAAGCTAAATAACTATGATATAACACAATATTATAATATATGTATTAATTATAGTGTCAAGTAGTATTAGTGTCAGTAGTATCTAACTATAAAGAATATCTAAGCATTTTTAAAGAGATTCATTTACATCGTACAAAGACAATATATTCTGCTCACAGAAGAAGAAAATTTAAGAGAGAATCACTTGAGGTTCTTTTATCTTCCATGATGTGTCATTAAAAGTTTGCTTTCCGAATCAGTAACTTAATTAATTCGCTTACACATGCAAGTGATGTGGTTACTAAAATCTTTGTTAATCGAAATGAAAGCTGTAGTAGTAGATATAAAATGGGAAGAATTTTTTTTAACTTTCAACTTAACTTGATTTTTAACTCTTAAGTGCAAGAGAAAAATTCCAAAATTACTTCGATGCTGCTTCTTCTTACCGGAAACTTACATATAAAAAATGCCTGATAGTGATGTTGTGGATATGTTCGATTTCCTGGGAAGGATAGAAATTATGTAAGATATCATGCTTGCGCTTGTTAGATTGAAAGGTGTTCCAAAATTAAATTTTTTAACACTCTTAATGGAAAGCGACACGATTGTTTCGTCTTGATGGGTACTACTCTCGTCTATTTTATTAAAACGGTTTAAACGAACACCCTATATTTTTCCTTTTTTGAGTCACTCAGACAATCTTAATTGCAAATTTATTTTGTATTTTGATTGATTTTGTATTTTGTATTTTGATTTGGAGATTTTTGCTTTTATACCAGCAGCTGTCTTCACCATATGAATGCAAAAAAACTGTTACATTTTAAATTATATCTAAGTTACTTAAAAACATACAAATATTATACACTTACCTAAGATATACCAGGATTCATAGTCCACCGGCGGACTGAGCTGCAGCTATACGCAAGGGGGTTCGTAGCAGTCAGGTTCAGGGTCAGGCGTAGCCTGGATGATGGTCAAAGCTGCCATCACCAAAGCTGCAACAAAAACTAGACTGCTTCTCAAAAACGCCATTGTCTGGATTCACGAACTTAATCCTTATGAATATCTCATCTTGAAGCTGTCCTTTTATATTAAATTTTAGTCTTGAAAAATGTGCTGTATTCACAAAACAAATTAAGATGCTAAATGAGAATTCACGATAAACATGAAATCATTTGCGAAATAGGACGTGTTCTTTAAAAATGCGCATTTCTTCAGTGATATTAGTCTCTATTTACGTGACTAAAGAATTTTTAATGCTCCAAAGGGAGGGCTGTGATTTATTTATTTCGATGACTCAACAAAGCTTCAGGAACTAAGATTCCGAAGAAAACAATTTTTCGTAGGAGGACTGAATGCAAAGCCAACTAGATGAATCATTTTGCTTCGTGCAACTTTTCGTTATTTAAAATATTTTATATTTTTGCGACGTGTACGGCTTTGACGATGAAATTTTCCAAAATGTCTTGAATAAGCAGCGTTTCTTGATTATAATTTCGAAATGACCCTCTCATTTTCACGTTGATGCTTCTGCTTCTAACCACAGAACCTGCAACCCCACTCCAATTCTAATCATTTTATTCCAGTGTAACTAATATTTATCTTTTATAAATTTTATTTCAGAAAAAATATTCTATGGAGTAATTTTTCCTGTAAGAAGATCTTTTTTCACTAATTTCTCTAGTACTTCAAATTCATCAATAACTCCTCGTAGGAGAATGGCAGGCTGTGATATATCTCTGATGCCGGTACTCTGATCAACTGAGAAAATGCTGCGAAATCCATAATTATTTTCAGTTACAGGTATCGTAAATCACTAGTGACTTCGTTAATACGTTCCACTGCTGTAAGTGACGATAAATGAATAGATTTTAAATAATTGTTGTTTGTCTGGAATTAAATAGTTTTGATCTTTATGCAATGATGTGCGCGAGAGCAAAACTTGTCTGAATTGTTCCTTCACTGGATATTCTTGTTTCTCTGAAAACATTTCATTGTTCCTGTAAGCGAGATTTTCGAATGTGTAACTTTTCGTCTTTCCTTTTACTTCTAATGTTTCAAATGTTCTTTATGATTCGCTTCGTAATTGTAAGACCAGTTGCGTTCTTTTAGAACTAGTTTCTCCTTATTACAAATAAAAAATACAATTTTTTGCGCCAACGCCGCAGAGGTGCGTAATTTCCCCTTTTTCCCAAGAAACAGAAGTCCTTCTGTCACTTTTCGTTTACATTTTGATAAAAACCTTGCCTTGCAGTTTCATCTGTTAATTAAAATCATAATTATAATTTTTTAGAGCTTTAGTTCCACAGGGACAGGGAAAAGTGGACAAAGCACCAGAACTTCGTCAGTGACTTTTACAGGTATTGCTCCGCCGCACTACTGTACCCGCTGGGCTTTCGTTTGGCCCGCATCGGATGCCAGCCTAACAAGACATTTACATAGAAACTTTACATTAAGGGCTTTAGTTCCACAGGGGGAATTTTAAACTGAAAGCAACAGTCAAACATTTTGCACAATTAAACTGGTTTGTATGGATGTCATGAGATTTCATAAACGGCACGGTAGTTTTTCTCTGTTTGTTTAGTGATATAAACTGCATAACTGTACATCCAGCTTATCAATTAGTCACTGAACTAAAGGAAGGTAAAAGTGATTCGGTTTTCATTCATTACCAATCGCGCATACGCAATCTATACGTTTGTAGTATTGTTTATATTTTAAAGTATGATTTATTAAGATGCGAAAATTAATCTCGATTTTCTCTTAGGCTCTTTTGCAGAACGCAAACACACCCTTAAAATCCCCAGAAACAATACTTTGCAAATTTACAAAAAACATTGTCATTTGGTGGCAACAATCGCCCAAATTTTTGACAAGCTTGGAAAAAACGAAGCCGACCTTTGGCTCGTTATTATAATTTTCTTTACCGGTTGGGTTGTTAATTGGCCCATAGTAAAAATTTATTTTTCACTTTATTAATTATTGCCCATAGTAAAAATTTATTTTTCACTCCGTTTGTTTCTAGAATTTTGACTCTCTGTATTACAACTGTATTTGGATAACGCACAATAGATATTTGTAAATTTCTGCAAACTTAGTAAAGTGTTTGCCTTAAAAATGTATTTCTAATGTGTAGTATTGTAAGTGCATGTTCTGCTGTAAAGTAATTTCTGTATCCTAATTAAAGTAAAAATTATGTAGTTATGTCCTGAGCTAAAACGACAGTAATATCGTTTAATGTTATTTGATGTATCTCCTGAATGCTTGAATGTATGCGGGGACGCGAGATAATACCACCTAACCTCGCCTAACCAACACCATCTAATGATGGTTTCTCCGTCTCCCGTCAACTATCAACTGTGTTTAATTTTTGCACTTATTTATTTATATATTTGTAATTACACGAGTGTTTTCCAAATAAGTTTTGCTATATATAGCTACAATATTCTGTAACAAATATAAAAAGTAAATATTATTGTATTATAATTGTAATTATATTTATTCAAATATTATATTTTATTATATGATTTTCTTTATTATATTATTAGTACAATGACTTATAATAACTATTTTACAATAAATAGATATTTTAATTAGAATAAAATTCATAATTATTTTAACTTTTTTAACTTTGAGCTAAAGTTTATGTGTTTTATTACACATTGAACTTTTTCTTAGTAATTAGGTATAATAATTCTACTGTGATAAAATATAATAATAGTTATTTAAGTAATTATAATAATATAATAAATATCTATTAGATGTATCCATTTGATTTTTGCACTAAAAGATATATGGTGTATTTTACATGCTGGGGCGGGTAAAAAAAGAAATTTTTTCACTTCATATTATTCTGTATCTCATATACAACACATATCCAAGTTGTTATCCTCTTCATTAGAAGAAATAATTAAATACTCGCATAAGTCTTCCATTAAACCAGTTTTTCCAATAGTCTTTTTCTACATGTGTTCAGTAATTCTTTTAATTTGTTTTTGTTAGACTTTTAAGAAATTCTTCAGTAATTTTTAACAGTTTATCCTAATCCTTATTATTATCACCTAATCATTGACGGTCTTTACACAAGCTCTGTATTTCAGGAAACCGACAGACACTTGCTGTTGGCCGTAGGCAGAAAATATAATAAACCGTTCTGCAACTCAGAAGAAAATAGCGCTGCAAACTTCATTTAATGCTGAGGTTAATGATACGTTTCTTGAAAAATTATATGCCATCCACCTGTTTATTTCGTAAATTAAAGATTGTTAACTGCATATTCACAAAAAAAGCAAGGAATATATTTTAAAAAATATTCGAATTGGAAATCATCAGCAAAAATGAAACATCATGCTAATATAAGAGCTCGTCCGCGGATTATGGAGAGCTATCTCGGTTAATTAGTGATTCAGTCTCAGAGGCCGCTATAAAAAGGAAGTACCGTTTGTTGTTACATACTTTAATCAGTTTAAGGTTTATTCCTTTGCCAAGGCGCAATCTTGCCAAGATGAATTTCGTAGGCTTATTCAGACAAGCGAGATTAGTAACAGGAACAACAACAATACAATTTATCCGAACGCTTAAAAGCAGGTTTCTGGATATTTATTATGGTAGGGAGATGCGTCCTCCAGTAAAAGGTAAAGTAGAGTAGACATATAAGACGCTATAGACATATAGAGCATTTAATTTCGCGAGTCTACTGCATAATTTCTTAAAATGAAATTTAAAGAAGAAATACCATAATTAACTTTTTTTATACTTCTGTGCTACAACAGCGGAGAAATTTTGTTTATGAAACTTGAAATTAATTTCAAACCAAACACATTGGACCTGCTCATGAAAATGCATAGTTTGCAGAAAACTATGATAACGTGTATAAAAGGAATGAATAAACCATAAAAATTCTTCTTAACGAAAATGTAGTTTGTGAAGTAGGTTATATATATATATATATACATTGGAGTACCACTGAAATAGGGATAGACATGGCTATGCAAATTTTATAGCGCTGCGCGGCATCTGTGCTCACGTGAGAAAGTTGTGGTAAATGCACATACAGTAAATGCAATACTATGATTGTTGTTAATCAGTTGTTTCAATTAGCAGTATGGGTAACACTTCTGATTTAGACAGCTTCAATCTCGGACAGATAGTAGGCACTCGACACATGGCCCATTCAGTTTCCAAAATCCACAGCGGGTCAAGAGTATACCGAAAATACACGGATGGTGGGAAAAAGAACTAGCGATCAGGGAAATTGAAAAGTACAATTAACCTAGAACCAGAGTGGGGTGTGAGACGGCTCAGACGTATTGTACATAGTTAACGAAGCCAAGCATTAGCTCAAATTAACGCCCAGCTGAAACAGGGCGACGGTCTTACAGTCAATAAATGGATCGTGCAACGCTCGCTTCACCATATGGGCTTCAGAAGCTGTAGACCCACGAGTGTACCTTTGTTGAATACATGCCATCGAGCTGCACTTCTTGCCTCGCAAGAGAATACAGAGAATAATCTCTACTTGAATAGGACTTGAAATCCATAGGACTTGAAATGAGTAGCAAGGAGTGATGAGTCTCGATTCCGACTAATTAATACCGATGGGAGGCTGAGAATATAGCGTCAGACTCATGATGCCATGAATCCTGTATGGCAGATTGGAACTGTACATGGTGGTTTAATCATGGTCTGGAATGTTTTCTCTTGGCAGTGTTTGGAATCTTTGATACTTGTACCAACCTTCCTCAATATGATTCGGTAAAATAGAGTTGCTGGGCGACCATCTCCGTCTATTTAAGTTTTCTGTCATTCACACAAAAATGGAGTATCCCAGCAAAATGACTTCACCTCTCACAGGTCCCGATTGGCTACTGGCTGGTTGGATGAGCAGTCTTCTGTCTTCTTTGTCATAAATTGAAAACTTAAAAGCCCTGCTTTAATTCTAATGAGCATCTTTCGGACGTTTTGGAGAAATATTTGAAACCTCATCACACAACACTATTGACTATTCCTAAATTATAAGCAGCTGTATCCGATGTTTGGCAAGCCATTCCCGTAG